TTTATTTTAGAAAAATTCTCATCAATGTTTAACTTTATGAGACTTATGATGGTATATGCTACTGTGACCTCGTTTTTATAATATTTTCATATTATTTGTCAAATTGTTTTAAATAAAGCATAATTTATATATAAATAAATAAATTTAAATATATTAAACTCAATAAATTACGAAATATTATATGACTGAAAGGTTTAAATAAATATTATAACTGAATTGACGCCATAAATTTTCGTAAACTACCGTAAACTTTTGAAATTCTTGTATTATCGCAAATTTTACAGAATATTACACTGTAATGTTACGAAATACTACGTCGTAAACTTTCGAAATTCTTGTATTTTCGTAAGTTTTATATAATATTACACAGTAATTTTACGAAGTACTACGCTGTAAACTTTCAAAATTCTTATATTTTCATAAGTTCTACATAATATTACACCGTAATGTTACAAAGTACTACGCTGTAAACTTTCGCATAGTTTATATTCCATAATATTATGTAGTACTATGTCATAATGTTACAGAATATTACGAATATACAATTTACATAATCTTACAGCAGCCTCGTAAGTTTTCGTAATATTACGGAATGTAAGTTTATGCAATATTATGCTCTATTAAATTTACTGATGTACAAGTTCTTCAGTTTTTCCATCATTAGTACAAATGTCTAAATCGATAACACAAATTGTATCTGACTCTATTTAAGGATCCACTCTACGAGTTTAATTTCAAAGTGATACAAGCGATCTTTTCAGGTAATCACTACTTCTTCGATTCCATTAGAGCAGTGATGTGCATTTTATACTTCCAATGGTAAAAAATTTGATTAGAAGCTTCCAATCCAAATAATTTTATTAATAAATTATGCTTCCAAACCTTCCAAAAGTGCTTCCAAAGGTGCTTCCAATCTTCCAAGTGCACATCACTGCATTAGAGTATACTTGTTCCAAAAGGAAAATAAACCCTCTATGTTTCTAATTGAGCACTGAGCTGATATCACTGATAATCTCATGTTCTAGATAATGTTATCAGAGGTCTGCAATCTGTTGTTTAAGGTAATCTCGCAGGTATTCTAAGCTGGCTCTGGCATAGCAAACTTTGACCTTTTGCGTAGGCTTCTGGTTATTTTTAAAGGCTTTGTGTTCATCTGTATTTGAGTAGAATCACTTTCCTTCAGACGTTTAACAATAATGACTTTTCCAAAAGCAGCCTATTGTTACAATGTTTCAACTGAGACATTATATGTTTCTTACATCTTTTTGGCGCTTAGATAGATAATCTTACTTTGATCCAGATTGTATTTTATTTCTTATTGTAAATGAAAAAAATAAAATATGTTCTTTGTTTAAGAAAATGAGATAATAATAATACAGTATTTGTAAAACATATTTTTCCTTATATTTAGTATAAAACGCAGAGACGCAAATTAAAACAATATTAGTTTTCGAATTTATTAATACTGACCATTTTTTAGTTAGTTTAAATCAATGTTACACAATATTAAAATGATCGACATTTGATTTTATTTATCACTTATTATTGTAATATTAAAATATACAGTCAACTCTTTCTACAGCGAATTTTGATATAACGAATTTTATAATACAACGGATTTTTAGTGTTGGACAGATTTTTAAATATAAAAAAACCCTTACTATACTGAATTTAGTAATTAAAAATTCGTACTATGTTTAACGCATTAAAGTCAGAAAAATTTATATATAAAATGACTCTTTTTATAATGAATTTTCTCTATAACGAATTTTTTTTGATACAACGAAGTTTTGCTTAAAATGAATTTTACTAGATTTATGTGTATAAAATTATGTAGTTTTTAAA